AATGTTAGCATCTTTGTTTGATATTGTTCTATGGCTATGCAAAATGTTAATCTTAGAGAAGGCTATGTGAAAAGTATATAGAATCCTTCTGAACTAATTTTTGTTTTAACCAAAGTTAAATATAAAATAAATTAAAAAAATAGCAAAATAATAAAATGTTTTATATGGGTAGATATCCATCTATCTTATCCTATAGTAGGAAGTAAATATATAGCAGAAAAATGTTTGTAGAGCAAGAATAGGCAATTCACAAAATAATAAAGTTAGAAAAGATAGTAAACACATACACAAATTAATTCATGCCATATATTTTATAGAACACTACACCAAATAAAAGGGTTTTGAATCTTGGTATTAGAAACGGATTACAAAAATAGCAAGAAATAATTATAAAAGTATTTTAGATATTTAGGAGATTTTGAAAGGCAAATGCATGTGAATACAGGTGTGGCAAAGCATATCTTAGAATGGAATTATTTTATTCCTAGAGATGGACTTGAAAACTGCCTAGTTCAGTTGTTTCATTTTACACATGAACTGAATCTGTAACCACTTAGTGGAAGGCTGATGAGGTATCATGTCCCCTGGTATGCATTAGGTGACTTATTTTGTAGCATGGTTTCTTGCCTCCAGATTTCGGAGCAGTTCTTTTTTACCCCAATCTCTAAGTTAATTAGCTTTAGTTTCTTCTTTCGAGTTGGAAACAGAGACTCCTTCACCTCAACCAGGGTTCCAACAGAGGGACATGAAAATACCTAAGAACCTGAGCGTGTCTTATCTTAGAGATCATGGCCTTGTTTGTTTGTTTTTACTCAAGCAGTTTTAAATTTTATTTTTAAAATTTACATACAGAAGATGCACTCATTTTGGTGTATCATTCTATGAGTTAACTAATGCCTAAAGTTGTGTAACCACCACTGCAGTTAAGATGCAGAACAATTCTACGACCCAGAATCATTCCTTCATTCTATTCCTCTGTGGTCACGCTCTCCTCCATCTCGAATCCCAGATAAGCTCTCATCTATTCTTGGTCCCTAAGTTTTTCCAAAATATCATATAAATGGAATCACATATCATGTATTTTTTTGAATCTTGCCTCTTTGATTTAACTTTCTCTGAATAGCAATGATGATGTTGCATGTATCAGGAGCTGCTTTCGATACATGCCCAGGAGTGAGTTTGCTGCCTTGTATGTCAAATGTCTATTAACATTAAAAGAAATTATCCAGTTGTTTTCCAGGTGGTTGACTGTATTCCCACCTGCTATTACAGTTTTAGTTGCTCAGAATCATCATCAGAAGTTAAAATGGTCAGTTGTGCTTTTGTGTTATTTTGAGAGCCTAGTTTAGCATAATTACTTAGACAGTTTTAAAGTTTGGAGACCACCTACCTTTGGGATGTGGGAATGTCACATTTACAAACTTCACATACGCGACAGTGAATTTGTGGGTCTCATACTCAGAAGCGAGATCTTAGACATCTATCTTGCTTACTTGTTTCCTTATTTATTTGTTTATTTAATTATTTATTTACATTTGCATGCTCCAGTTGATTCACATTATTTGCTGAAAATTTTATGCTTTCCCAAATCTACTACCATTTTTCCTTCATCAGAAAAATCTTTGAGTATATTTATGTGGGTTTATTTGTAGATTCTACTATTTTATTGATCTGTGTTTCTATCATTACTACACTGTCATACTGTCTTAATAAGTCTAGTAAGTCTAGAAATCAGAGTGTGAATCCTCCAATTTTATTCTTTTCCTTTGAAATTGTTTTGTTTATTCTCAATCCTTTGCTTGCCATATAAATTTTAGAATCAGCATATCTACAAAAATCCTACTCAGATATTAATTAAGATTAAATTTTACCTATAGAGCAATTTGAGAAGAATTGACATCTTAACAATGCTCATTTCTTCAAATCCAGGAACTTGGTGTATCTCTCCATTTATTTATACTTTGGCTGTGTTTGTGTGAGCATGTATTACTTTAAGATGATAAAAGGAAGAAAAAACAAAAAAATAAGAAACTCACCATTGTAATAGGTCTTCTTCACATTTGATTCTTTGCCAGTCTGCCTACTAGATTTTACTTTGCACAGTCCTTGGTAGTGGCTTTTTAATTCTTTCCAGCATGGCTAATTGTGATTAGTGGGAAAGAGAGCCTGTAGTAGGCATACTCTATTTTGTTCGACATTGAAAGTTCATTGGTTTTAGTTTTGATTACGATTATCTAAGTCCTTCTTGCATGGTGATGCCATGGACTGTAGAGTACCCAGAAGTGGTTTACTTTTTTTTTTTTTTCATTTTGAATAAACCAACTCTGAGACAACTTCCTGAAAGTATACTTGCTGGATGGGTGTAAATAATATGTTTTCTACATAAAAGCTCAAAAAATTCATCCTGGGGGCATGAGGACCTGGGAGAGAAAGGGTAGAAAGTAGAACCTTTCTTTCCTTCTGTGTCCAATAGCATTTATTTTGATTCAGGAACTTCTTTTCTTGACAGTGTCTTGACGTGTCATTTAAAAATAAAAGAAATGAAAATTTATGTGACAGTTAGCAGAATCACTGGCGTCTATCTGGGAGCATTTCTTAGCAGGCACTGCCTTGCTGACAAATAACAGGAGTGAGCATATGACTCAGGATCTCACAATATCACCATTTATTTAGCCCCAAAGAAAATACAATTTCCTGTGTCCTAACAGATCTCAGCTGACTGATAAACCCCAGCACCTTCCAAACTGTGTTATCTCCCCTAAATCTTTAGAGGGCTTACGTAGCTTTATCTTCTAGTAGAGCGAATAATCAAATTTTCCATTTTATCTCTGAGAATTAGAAATCACTAATTGTGTTCTCTTGAGCACAGTATAAATTGTTTGTTTTATTTATGGCCAAGTTTTTAAGCCATTTGTTACACAGAGACATATAAAAATGGGTTTGATCCATTTTCTGTTCTCTAGTTATATAATTCATATCTTCAACTTTGCTTTTATTATAAATCAAGATGCTATGCTAGAGATCCTCAGACTAATTCTTTATTAAAAATTAGAGTGAGATGAAACAGTTCAAAGCATTGACTAAAGTAACACACTCAAGAAAATTTCACCTACAGTTATTTAATATACTTTTGTTGTTCAGTCACTAAGTCATGTACAACTCTTTGCAACCCCATGGACTGTAGCTTCTGTGTCCCTTACTATCTCCCAGAGTTTGCCCAAATTCATGTCCATTAAGTTGGCGACATATCTTTTGTGTAGGGATGTTAGTCATTCAGTCTTGCCCGACTCCCTTTATGATATTAATATTCTTCTGTTAGAATATTAATTTGATTCTGTACTTCTCATTCAGAAGTCAGCTCCACACTGACTCCTAAATGAGATAAAAATTGGTATGTTTGTGAAACCAGGAAAAATATATAATTTTTTGCCAGAGTATTATACTTTTCCTATGAAACTGTTTAATGCTTTTATCAGGTAATAACTTGCAAGTCACATTTTAAAATTCCATAGCCATATTAACATGTAGAAATCTCAGCAAGGGTTGGAGAATCTCAGGGACTTCACAGAGACTAAAGTGTGTATTTTATCCACAAGAGTAATCAGGTATGTGCAGAAATCCAATAGACTTAATTTATTGAACATTCATTCATTCATTCATTCATTATTTGTGCCCTAGGACTGTGCTGGCTTTGAGGTTGCAGAGATGATTAATACTTGATTCTAGTTTTGTTTTTTTAAGCCCTCAAGTAGGGCATTGTGAACTGATTTTAAAATAGAATGGTAATTATCCTTTTCAAATGAATACTTAGCCCTTCATTTAGTCATTCAAATGAGGGTGAGAGAGCAATTACATTGTAGCCATGGGCCTCTAAGGGAGAAAACATGTCACAAGATGTATGTAAGTGCTTTATTCATAATATATAGCTTTCTGTAGTTCCCGGATTACATTTGAGTTACACATTTATTGTCATAATAATCTTCTGATAGATCAAGGATGTATTAAAAGCCCCATTTATAGTTAAGGGAACTGAAGTAAAAAGATGTTATGTAAATTTACGTCCTAGAAATTGGAAATACTGGAACCTGAGACTCTAAGACCAGTGCTCAATGTATAACAACCATTGTTTCTCGAAAGTAAGGAGACTTGTCTGATGATCCAGAATTTCTAAAATTCTAATGAAATACTAACTGAACTTATATTGTTTAGAGAGGTAGGAAGCTCGATATGAGTCTCAAGATAAATGACACCTCCTGTAGGAAGCTCACCTTGATTAGACAGATACAGATTCCCATATAAACTCTTATAATTACTACTATAATCAATTGACCATTTTTTGCAATTGTAGTTATTTCCCACCAAAAGCAATCCTGAGTACCCTCTTTGAGAAAGACAAATTACTTACTAAATAATTATTCCTTACCATCTTTCTTCCGGAGTAAGTGAAAGTCACTCAGTCATGTCTGACTCTGCAACACCATGGACTGTATAGAATTCTCCAGGCCAGAGTACTGGAAAGGGTAGCCTTTTCTTTCTCTGGGGGATCTTCCCAACCCAGGGATCGAACCCAGGTCTCCCACATTGCAGGTAAATCCTTTACCGGCTGAGCCACAAGGGAAGCCCTCTTCCTGAGTAATATATAACAAATTTCAAAAGGATATGCTGTCTTCACTTTTGTACTTAACTGTGATGCCCAGCACATAGCATGGGCTGAGTTGGAATGGATTTAGTGAATTAATATTTGCCAATATGTGAATTTGACATGAGTTTGAGCAAGCTCCGCGAGTTGATGATGGACAGGGAAGCGTGGCATGCTGCAGTCCATGGGGTGGCAAAATCAGACACGACTGAGCAACTGAACTGAACTGAATTTGTGACTAGTTTATGTTTATAGTATCTGGTTGGATAGATTTTCTTGTGAATACTCAACTGTTTGCTTATCTCCCAATTCCATTTAGGTACAAAATAACCATTTTTTTTTTATCTCCTCAATTTCACAGGATTATACCTTGACAATGTACTTTCAGCAAGCTTGGAGAGATAAGAGGCTGTCCTATAATGTAATACCTTTAAACTTGACTCTGGACAATAGAGTGGCTGACCAACTCTGGGTGCCTGATACCTACTTCCTGAACGATAAGAAGTCGTTTGTGCATGGAGTGACCGTCAAGAACCGTATGATCCGCCTGCATCCAGATGGGACAGTCCTTTATGGCCTCAGGTCTGTAGTGACCGTTTCAAAATCAAACTTTCCCTGAGCACAATACTTACTTCTCTTTATTGGAGGGGAATATTGTGCTATTTTTCCTGAGTCCTCCTTTAATTCTGCTGATAAGCAGTTAAACCTCCTATTCAATAGACATCTGAGAGCTTAGGGGAGCATGTTTACAAAGGAACTTATCCCCAGCTAAGCCTAAGTTTTTTTCTGAATTATCTTCCAATATCAGCTGCTGATCCTAAAGCTGCTTTCTTTAAGAGGTAGGGATAAGCAATATTAAAATAGCTTACACATGGGGTTTCTTTAAAGTGGAGAAAAGTTCTGAATGCCCAATACTTGTTTGAATGTGGCAGATGCTCTGTTTCCTGATTTGTTCCTGAGCTCTGTGAGCTGAGTCTGGCCGTCCGAGGACAGGAGGGCTTTCTGTATCCTCTCACCTCCAAGGAGTAATCAGACTTGCAAATAAATAAAGCCTCATCTCATGTTTATTAATAGTGACAACACTATTAAATGTACCTTTATAGCAGAAAAGGATTGTGATGCTCTGCTCTCTTTGGAGGATGAGTTGTGAAATATGAGTTTCTTCTTTAAAAAGTTTATTTTGTTATTAGATTGTTCCCTGGAAAAATGATGAAGAAAAAAGATATCTGTCTTACTCTGAAAACATCTCAGAATAAAGAATTTCTCTGCATTATTGGGGAAAAAATGATATTTTGTAATGTTCAATGTGTCTGATAAATTCTGTTTTACATGAACACTTGATGACTTTATCATAATGATGATGATACCAATATTGTTATTCATTTATTGAACAACACTTGTTAAGGGTCAGACGTTAGTTAGTACACTCCCTGTGTTATTACAGTTATGATGACTTGCAACAACCTCGTAAGTTAAAACTGTTACAGTCTTTATTTCAAATGAAGGCTGGTATAGCTTGCTCTAAGATCACAGAGAAGTAAACAGTGAAAATGGGAGCCCAGTCCTGTTCTAAGTTCAGAGCCAGAGCTCATAACGGTTAGCCTAGGATGCCTCTCACTCTGGCATTGTTCCTGTCTGTTACATCTCATTTTCATTATCTGCTGTATTCAGCCTCCTGATTGTTTCATTGTCTTAGATCCTTATAAGCCAGCTTCTTTATCCTATTTGTGGAGAGAATAGCATTTGTTTATCAAGAGGGAGGGAGTGAAGCAGAGAGAGCATGTTTGTACTCCATCAGGCATTGAAAGTAAAGAGATGCCTTGGATACAGGCACTGCTCACATATAAGCCTTATGGAAAAAGGGAAACAGTGGAAAAATAAAACAAGTTAACTGGCAGTGTCTGCAGACTCCACCAAAGTGGTGGCATTTGAACGGACTAATGGAAATAATTGTCGTAGCAGATATATTGTGGAACCATTACAAAACATAAGCATCACAAGGACCTTGATAAGATGGTGACCACATGGACAGTGGAGGTTGTAGTTCACATGTTTTAAGAGTTACACACAGACAGAAGTCAGAATCCTGAAGAAGGCAGAGAGAGGCACAGAAATGTTACTAATTCAGCAGGGAGTGGCAAGTTTTGGCTAAGCATCTGACCCAGTGCTGGATGCATTTGGCCAGCAAATCATCACAACAATCATGTAGAAATAATCTTCCCTCTTTGTTTTTCCTGATGATACCCACATTTAGAACAGAGAACCAGTTGTGTTCTCTGTTATACCCAGCACCTACAGTGTAAATAAACTAAGTGAAGACTGTCAATGAATTCTGAATGCACATATTCAAAGTTGAATGGGAGGGAAAAATCAGCAATCAGAATGTCTGTACAATTGAGAGGGAAAAGAGGGGGCCAGTATAGGTGATAAATATGGCTTCTTTAAGGCATTAAGCCAATAATCAGACAAAAAAGCTGGTGGCTGTTCATTCTTATCAAGACCAACTGGACACCATTGCTGTAAATCATCACTATAAATCAACAACACATGCAAGTTCCTGAACACATCTGATGTGCATAAAATTAACGTTTCTACTTGAAAAAGTCTCATGGATTGTGATTATTCTATCAGTTGTATAGTTAGTTCTGAATATGAAATTGGTAAGAAGTTTTTCAGGAAATTTCTATATATCTCTTTTCTCTATTCTATTACAATTTATTTCATGGCTGAAATTTAATGCAGGCTGGATATCACTTTTTAACAGCAGAAGTTTCATTTTTTCAATAAATAAGTAAAAGGAAGTCAATTAAAATCACTACTGCTGGGTTGATTCAGATCTGCTTAATCCCTCCTGCTACTTACCTACCCCCTGACCTCAGTTGTTCTCTGTTGCTTACAGTTTGCCTAAAAATTTAACTTGTGTCTATGTTCAGTAGTGGCTGACTTCCAACAGCCTTTAGACTAGTAATAGTATTAATTTAGTAGTTAGTACTCATTAAAGGATTTAATCTGTACTTGGCCCTGTGCCAGAACATTCCTTATATAATCTCATTTAATATTAACTTTAATTCCTACAAAGTGGGCACTGTTGGTTGATTGGTTGATTGGTTTTTCCTTCATACATGAAGAAACTCTGGAACTTATATACCAAGTTACACAGCTCCTGCCCAGGAAAGCATAATTGTTTGAATACAATGATGTTGCTCTTCATTATCATTCTGTCCTACTCCTTAGGAACTTGCAAGTAGAAGTAAAGGATAGTAGAGCATGCAAAGGGGGGAAAAAGGAAGGTAAAGAATAGTGAGATGGAAATAGCTTGCATTGATCCACAGATACAGACTTTGTTCTGATTGACAGAATAAGCCCCTAAAGAACTATAGTCCTGAGTCATCTGTGGAAGGTTCACTTTTAGGTTCTGAGCTTCACACCAATCCCAGTTTACTAAGGGATGCTTTTTGGTATGTGGAATCTCGGGGCACAGAAAAGATCATTGCAAAGAAATCGATAAAGGCAAGATTCATCAGTTGGAATAAGGAGAGCTGAAAAGCAACCATGAAGACCTGGATGTAAAAAACTGGTACAAGGAAGGCTTTAAATATCAAGGCAGTGATGAAGAAACTGGGTAGAACAAACCCTCTGGGCTAAATGTCATGCATGTTCAAGGCAAAATCCTTTAAGGATTTAAGTGTTTCTTCTGTTGAGATGTACAAAGATTGGCGGCGGTGAGGGGGCTAGAGGGGAAGTCATTGAAGTCATTCAGAGGATCTGAGTATGCCTCTTGTAAAGATTCCTTAAGTGTTAAATCATATTGAAGATAATGTAGTATGAAGAATATTAATGTTTGTTTAATTTCATGGCGGGTATACAGGTGTTTGGACTTCCCTGGTGTTCCAGTTGGTAAAGAATCCACCTGCATGGAGAGTATTAATGTTTGTTTAATTTCATGGTGGGTATACAGGTGTTTTGGCTTCCCTGGTGGTTCAGCTGGTAAAGAATCCACCTGCAATGCAGGAGACTGGGGTTCAATCCCTGGGTTGGGAAGATCCCCTGAAGAAGGGAAAGGCTACCCAGTCCAGTATTCTGGTCTGGAGAATTCCATGGACTGTATTGTCCATGGGGTCACAGAAAGTCAGACATGACTGAGCAACTTTCACTTTCATTTTCATACATGTGTTTGTCATGCTGTTCTTTCAACTTGTCTGCACGTTTGAAATTTTTCATGATAAAATTTGGAAAAGAAAAATGGCCTTGACATCTCTGTTCTCTTATCTAGGAAATAGCACTCAAGACTTAGAAGTCTGCAGCCAGAGAATAGTTTTCCTCATCTCTTAGAGGTAGAGAATTACCTATATGTGACATGTACTTTTAGTAGCTGTGTGTGAAAACAAGGTCATCTCACCTTAGAGGATGTGTACTCAGTGGGTCCTTGATTCAAGACAATCAGGCTGTGATCTTCCCGACCCAGGGATCAAACCCAGGTCTTCTGCGTTGCAGGCAGATTCTTTACTGTCTGAGTCCCCGGGGAAGCCCTCGTTGTTGTTATTGTTGTTGTAGGTTGGGCATTAACATTTTTTTTATTCTGATTGGATTTTTGTTTCCCCATTGCCAAAAGAATGGGTGAGCAGCTTGCTCTGTCATTCCATTACTCTTCAGTTTGATTATCATTTTAGGAGCACAGAGTTCTGATGCAGTGCAGAGACACAATTGCTCCATGCAACTGATTTCCTTAACAAAGTATTATGGCAATGGAACTTGTGTTTTAGCTTGGGCTTTTGTCTCTGACCTCTTATTTAGCCTTAAGCATCTTCTTCAGATTTTAATTTCTTCATAAATAGAAAGGTGGGGGATAAATAATGTCATTTTAATAACCCAGTTATCTTCTGAATCAAATGAGATTAATAAATGTAAAATAAATTGATATTCTGACATCAGGCTAGAAAGTGAAATTAAATATTTGGAGTAGCATAATAATTTGTGGATAATAAGTATGCTGTGTTACTTAATATTTGATAAAGAAATGAATGCTGGGAATATTTGATAAATAAACTGAAGGCTGGAACAGAGAAAGCTTTAGCTATCAAGGCAGTAGTTTTATATTGTAGAATTTTACCCCAAGTATCTTTCCGTGATTCTTTGAAGACACATCTTTGTCTTGAACAAAAAGAACAAGAGGAGCAGAAATGAGGAAGTCAGTTGAAGAGAATGGGAAAGGTCTAGATCAGACATGTCTAATATGAAAAAGGGAACTACTGAAATACTAAGAGGATGTCAAACCGTTCTGAGGTCACAAAACAACAGTGGAGCCAGTTACCTCCAGCTTTGGCAGCCTGAGATGAAGCAAAAGGAGACTAAGTGCCTGGCTTTAGACCCAAGTGGCCTTGACAGCCTTTAAAAAGTGTCCTGTAGCCACAGACCCAAATGTCTCGTTTGTGGCATGCACTCTGATTTTCATGTAACCAAGCATTGTATATTTTCTCTTAAACCAGGCCTTTCTTTTAATTCTCATCATGTTTTATCAAGCACCTGTTTTTTAAACCTTATTGAAAGATCTACAGGAATAATTAAGAAAAGTGATGAGTAAT